AGACACAGCTGCAAGTTTCTTAGAAAACACCAAATACTGAAACCATTTCCTTTAAAGATCCATTTAAAAAGGGGGATCATCCACCCATCAATTACAAACTTGAATATTTCGGCTATCTCAAAATCTTACCCTTCATCTAATAGGAAGGTTCTTGTAAATTATGATGTTCTCAGGGGAGAAACAGCAGCTATTGGCCATTTTAAAGTCCTTTGTAAAAAGGAAAATAAACAATTCTAACCGTGTTATACCATTTGATTCCTTTCATGTTTTAAACATAAAATATTCCATAGTTTTAAAGTAAATAATGTCTATTATTTTGAATTTTGGTTTTTTGTGTGTGTGTTCTCTCATTAATAACAAGGAATGAATAACAGGTTCACAAGATATCTATCTTCCTATTTGTGTATATATCCCCAACATTTTAAATATGACATTTTCTTTTCATTATTTTGTTTCTACATGTTAAGAAGAGAGAAATTGCTTTTTCTATTTCACGGTAATTATCCAGATACCAAAACTTAGGGGTTTATGGAGCAAAAGTCATGAATTTCTAGTACAGGGGAAAGAGAGAGTATAAACTTGACATATCTATTCCAAAGACCCTTGGGTTCATTGCTTATTCGATGGAGATATTGAATATTTGAGTCCTAAATTCATAATCACAGTGAACATATATGTTCCAGTTCCCACAAGATAGTCCTGGTTTATGGTTTTTACAGGCATAAATATAAATATGAATAGAGATCCCTTTCACTTTAAATAATGTCCTAGTTGAAATAATAAATTACATGGTCATTCTTTGAAAAATAAATAAACACATAACTTAAAATAAGCAATCATGGCACAAAGAGTGCTTTCTGTCCTGAGTAACTTGGCAGTACCTGGCATCTTTTGTTCTCAATTATTTCTCTCACACACACACACACACACACACACACACACACACACACACACCTGTGAGGTAAGTCAAACTGCAGCTTCCATTTTCTAGTTCCAAAGTAAGACAGATAATCCACATGCCTTTAAATATTCTATTACCGGGTTTATTGAAATGTATGCTGGAGCTAAAATTTGGTTTCCTAAGTATATAATTTTTTACATTTTACTAGTTCCAAAAATTAGAGAAAACGTATGTCACACATTCTCTGTAGGTTGGAAATGTCCTCTTTAAAAAGGTTTAGGGAATAATAAATACAGTATAAAACCATGTTTTCACTGACACCAAATAACAGCCTCTCATTCATTCAAATTTGTTTCTGTAGGGCCTTCAATAGGTCACATCTTGAAACTGCAGAAAGTACTGGAAACTGCAGGAAGCACAGAAAACTCCAAAAGCTCAGAATGGAAAAACATTTCTTCACAGAGAATTTTTAAATGTAGGGCATTTTATATGCAAAAATAATGGCTGATACCTATTAGCTCACAGTCCAAGTAAGCATGGAGCATGCGTGCATGGACTGTCAGCTCAGTTTGGAATTTCTGAGGGGACTTTCATCTTAGCCATATTTATGTGACTTTCAGAAAAAAGAAATCTTGGCAGTGTTAACTGAAAACAAAGACAATGTACCTGGATTAGAGTTCCTAATTAGGGGAGAAAACAAATGAGTACTCCATTACTGAAGAGAAAGAACTAGATTTTGTCTCTTTAGAGTTTATAATAGTGGAAGCCAGATAAATGAGTAATATCTCTATAATGACTTTCTCATATCCCTTTCTGTGACACATCCATATTTATCAAAGCATGCCCAAAAAACTAAGTTGCATTATATTAAAAGGTTAAGCTATAATATATTGAACAGGAGCAGTAAAATATCATTTTATTTCTCAAAGGAAGTTGTGTCAAAATCCACTACTTTCTTGAAACAGAATATAACACATAATCCATGTCAGGACCTCTGGTAAAATGGTAGCATAAGTAAGCAAGCTCACCTCCTCCCACAACCACATCAAAGTTACAACTAAAATATAGAACAACCATCACTCAGAACTGTCAGAAATTGAGTTGAATGAAAGTCACACAACTATAGAATTAAAGAAACCACATCCATCCAGACTGGTAAGAGGGGAGGAGACACAGAAAAGGCTGGTCTCACATCCACATGTGGTGGTAAAAATCAGACAGGATATCTTGGGAGTGAGGTGTCTTGGCCCTACACCAGGCCTGCCAGCCTAGGGTACAAGTGCCAAGAAGGTAAGCCCCCATAACTTCTACTGCAAAAACCAGCAGGGGTTGAGTCAGTGGAAAAAACTTCTGAATTTTCAAGCAGTTTCTCTTCAAGAATCCACACAGTTGCTTACTCAGACTCACTTCCTGTGAGAGACAACACTGGAGGAGCAGCTTGAAAGGCACCAGTGTATAAGGAGGAAGTGAAGTGTCTGGCATCAAGGCAAAAGCTGGGGGAAAGCTTTCTCCCAGATAAAAAGGCAGGCAGAGGCCATTGTCCCTTTTCTGAGCCTGCCCCCCACAAAGCCACAGACCCGGCAGGTGGGCTCCATATCTGAGAATCTATCAATCTGGCTAACACTCTGTTTGCCCCACTCTGGAGATCCCCAGAGACTCCGCCCATTGCCCCCCTCCATCCCCAACTTGCTGGCCCATCCAAATTGTTAACCATGACTTTTCCATATGAATGGTGGGTCTTGGCTCATGCTTCACAACTTCCTAAATTCTCTCAAATAAACAGACAGCTTCAGTGAGTGACCAGCCCCTGTACCTCCTGCTAAATGTCCCAAGATCCAGCTCTAGCAGCAGCCAGCCTAGATTCATAGCTTGGCTTCACCTGGGAATCTCCAAGCCCAACACAAGAAGCAGCCATTTCAGATTGCTTTATAGCTCATGCAGAGTTGCCCCAGGCAGAACACAGGAGGGGGATGACCTTCATCTACACCACCCAGGAAACTCCAGAGTGGGTTTACCCAATGGAAAGCTACAGACCACATTGGAGCATCACCACCCTACCCCTGAACAGCTGATCTTTCACGGAAGGCAGAGGTTGGTGGCTAGTGGTCACAGCCAGTCCTTGCAGTTGACTGGCCTGGGTAAATACCTCCCATTGACCTGACAACAATAATCATAGGGGTTCCAGAAGGAGAAGAGAAAGGGCAAGAAATGGAAATCTATTTGTAAAAATTATGAAAGAAAACTTCTCTAATTTGGTGAATGAAATAGACATGCAGGTCCAAGAAGTGCAGAGTCCCAAGCAAGATGGATGCAAAGAGGCTCACTCTAAAACACATCATAATTAAAATGGCAAAGGTTTTTAAAGTGAGAGAGAAGCAGTTAGTTACCTATGGGGAGTTCCTGTAAGATTGTCAGCTGACTTCTCAAAATAAACTTTGTAAACTAGAAGGTATTCGCAAGAAATACTCAACGTCATGAAAAGCAGGGCCCTACATCCAAGATTGCTCTACCCAGCAAAGCTACCATTTAGACTGGAAGAGCAGATAAAGAGCTTCCCAGACAAGAAAAAACTAAAAGAGTTCATCATCACCAAACCATTATTACATGAATTGTTGAAGGGACTTATTTAAGAAAAAGAACAAAATATGAACAATAAATGGCAATAAATACATATTTATCAATAATTGAATCTAAAAAAACAACCTAAACAAACAAGAAGAACAGAGGCAGCATCACGGATAGGGAGAGTGTCTGAGGGTTGCCAGATGGGAGTGGGTTGTGGAGGAATGAGTGAAGAGGTGAGAGGATTAAGAAGGACAAATAGGTAGTTACAGAGCAGCCATGGGGATGTCAAGTACAGTATAGGAAATGGAGTAGCCAGAGAAATAGAGTAGCCACATGACTCAGGGAGATGAACAATGGTGGGGGGATTGCCTGAGGGAGTAGAGAGTGCTGGGTGGAAGGGGGCAACAGGAGAAAGATTGGGAACAGTGAAATAGCATAATCAATGAAATATAATTAAAAGAAAAAGAAAAATAATCCAAATAAATGCCATGAATCAACTTTTATTTTTTTCTTGAGCCTTGCTTTTATGTAGACCATTACTAAATCTAAACACATGCCTATAATAAAGCCATAAGACAGCCTGAGACCACATTTATTTTGGTAATCATTCTAAAACAGCTGAAACTAAGACTTAAATACATCTGAGCCAAAATAAATAGTTAAAACTCCTTGTTAAACAGAAAGCATCCTAGGAAACAAAAATATACAGATAAAATAGACTTTTTTTTCCAGTACCCACCTAGCACCATATGTATTTATTAAATATTATTGACTATTTTCTCTATATTGTACTTTATATCTCCATGATTATTTTGTAACTACCAATCTGTACTTCACAATTCCTTCACCTTTTTTACCCAGTCTCTCAACTCCTGAGATAGACTTTTTATAATAATATGTGATCTTTATATGTATGAGACAATAGTTATGGGAAACAATCCAAGCTTTGTTCTCAAGAACTAATGATATACATTAAATATTCTCCATGAATGAAAGACTTAATCAATCAGTTCATAGCTCCAAGATAAGGAATGTCCTTCAAAAATTATTTTTTTGCTCTAATTTTTATTGTAAATATTGGTCCAAATTTAAAACAAATATTTCTAAGTTGTACCTACAACTAGGCACAACTAGACTAGGCTTTTCCTAAAGACTTGGTAAACATTCAATTACACCTTAACAATTGCAAAGTATAAGCCAGACCCTCCCTTAACAGATATCTTAGTATCTCAGAATTCCTGGAATGTTCCTAAGGGTCAAACTTTACACTCTATTTTATTATTTTTTTTAAATAAGGTGATTGAGTTATGTTTTGGTATAAAATTACCATTCACATTAACAATGTTCTTATCTATTGTTTCAATATTGAAAAGAGAAAGTGATGCCATTACCACATCATTAGGCTAATAAGCTGGATTTCAACTGCTTGGGAATGAACACAAATTATGTTTTTGATATTTTCAGTCAAATTATGAACTCACATCTTATTTTCCAATTTATATTTTACCCCGTTTCATGACGCTAATATATTTACCTTCATTTTTCTTGATGGTAAAATTCGGATTGTTGGCCATTTCTGGAAGAAGGCTGTATAGGAAATAATGTCCATTTTTGGGCTCGTCCTTGTCCATGGCACTCACTGTTTGAATGACCTGTAACAGAAAACTTGACATCAGAATCTCTGATGACATCAGTGGTTTAAACTGCCATTGAAAGCTGAGTGACATCTCTTTTGGTCCAAGGAATCTTTTTCAATTTTCTAAATTGTCATGGATGGTTGGTGCCAAGAATAAAGAGAAATATTCATCCGTTTAAAACCTCAGCTTTGATTAGTTGATGAAAATTAAGGTCATTATCTTTGTGTCCATTTGGTGTTGGGGGCTTTGCCATAGCACATTTAAAGGTATTTGAAAATTCCCACGGGGCAATTACATGTTTCTTTCCAATTTGAGTACGTACAGGCATCTAAAATAAGATTTTAAATTGTTACAGTGAGGATAGTGTAGCTTTGGGGACAACTTTAGAGGTAAAAGAATTAAATCTTGAATCCCCACAATTTCTTTTAATTTTCCTCATCAGGTTGCAAGTGTTTGCCAAATACTGTAAAATGTTCCCCTCCACAAACCTCACTGCAACAAACCTTTTGAAGACTTGCATCTGTTCCCACCCAATAGTGAACACTTTTTAAAAGCTAGTGGATAACACATGTAAACATGATGCTTTGGAGTGTATCCTGAGATGAATAAATTATAGGGATTAGAAGAATTACCACTGTACAGAGAACTATTTGGATAGAAACGCATACTTGGAATTGGTGCCGGTTGAATGTGCTTCTTTCATTTGCAAAGCTGCATTAACTTAGGGCTAAGTTATTTCTTGGGATGTCAGAGAATTAGCTTAATAATTCATATTTATGAGTCTGTGATATTAATCACTTCAATATAAAACTCTGGGCAATAGCTAATATAGAAAAAATTATAGCTTATACTTCATTATGAATAACTACAACACAATTTCTACAAGAAATGTCTATGAAGCATGACAGTCAAGGTGATATCAAATTTACCATAAAAAATTAACAGGAAAATGCTCTCACGTTTATGAAATTTACAGACTGTAATGATGATGCCTATTATATTATGTCTGTTTGAACAATTAAATCCCATTCAACTTTGCCAGTTTCATTATAGAAAAAATGGATCACTTCTTTTTTAGGAACGTGACTTCATTGCCTTGTAACGTATCACCTAAACAAATGCAAGAATCCCAGTTTCAGAACACTTTCAGGAGCTGTGGAGATTTGCATTGTATCAAGCATATGCTATATGACAAATGGTGTGTTAAGATTATTTGAAGCATACAAAGGAATAACCTCTCTGTTCTATTTCTCCATTTTTTTAAATAGAACATATCTTCCTTTGTAGGCAATTTACTTTTGTTAAGGACCTCATGAACTGTCTTATAATTGTATTTAGCTTGAGTAATAATATACCGTAGTACAAAATATAACTCATGGTTAAGACAGAGTAGTCATTAAGGTGATAGACCCTGAAATAAAGCCATCTGATAGAAGTCATAGCTTCACCCTTTACTCATGGTGCGACACTGAGGGAGTTTTTGAATGCTGAAGCTCAGTTTGCTTGCGTTCCTAAATTACAAATAATGGAAGTACCATTCTGATAGGGTTGCTTTGATTATTGTTGTAAATTCACGTCGGGTTCTTAACATAGTGCTCAGGTCATAGTAAATGCTCACTGAATGTTAGAACATTAGTCATCATTATTACTGTTTTGTCTTTAGGGTCACTATCATTTATTTAATGACATAGCACCTTGATAAGTGTAACAACTTTGATGTCACTCAAAGAGGCCCTTAACCTCATCAGATTATATGGAAATGCCATTATATCTGCTTCTCTGTAAACACCTCACATATTTACGTTGGCATTGAAATGCAGACAGATGTCCTGGGGTTCCAGTTTTATAAAAATGAAAGAATAAAAGTACCAGGGGAGAAGCTGTGAAGCACTGATAACTCTTTTGTGGATAGCCTACACATAGAAATATTGAACTGGAACATTTGATAAGAGCTTCTTTGAGGCAGTTTTAAAGAGTAGAGGGGCAAGAAGTCACTTGTGAGTTGGTGTAGGGTCCTCTTCCCCCTTTACCCAATTTTGCTTCAGAAGGATTTCTATTCCCAGGTGTGTCTGTTGAAGAAGCAACTCCTAGAGTGTTTCAGTATATGTGAAGAATAAAGGCAAATAGAAGACTTCTTGATATTCTATGGTAGAAATCATTCTTAACTAAATGCATTCTTATAGTATATTTCATGGATAGAGCTTCTATATGTAACACCTTCCTTAATATTTCTAAGAAATCTGCATGACAAAGAGTCACACATGCTGGCCTGTGTATCTCATGAGTTATTGAATTATTTAAGCCACCACTACCAAAAAACAAAAAAAAAATTCAGTAATTTATCTTACCTGAAACAAAGAAATTTAACTACCTGTTATACCACATCTCAGAAGTTTGGTCTAAACATTACACCTACAATGAACATGTTTTTTTTCCATCATTTATTTAAGTCAGTAACTCTGTTAAACATGCAACATTTTAAGTCTACTCAATCACACAGTCTCAAGGTGGGCATTGAAATCTGCATTTTAAATAGCCTTCTAGGTAATTCTGCTGCATGCTTCAGTCAAGACTGGGACTGAGACTGTCCCAGGGAGACTGTCTCAGGGAAGAGGCTGGGGTTCAGAGCTCCCACATTATTATTTATTACGAGAGTTTGCATTGTCAGCCTCATATCATGCTCAGTGCATAATGTGCTGAGGAAAAAGTGATGAAATGATACATTTTTAAATCAACTCCCAAATATCCTGTGAACTGGTAATGTTTAAGAATTTGGTTTAAGCCATTTTTGACACTACATTTTATTTTAATGCAGATGGCCACTGTCTGGTCATTTTATCAAAGTAGACACCTGGTAGATCACTTGAAGGTCTTTATGCTCTTAAAATGCATTAAGGTACCCATATTAAAAAGTTTGAAATTTTCATTGATGCAATAAGAACTGAATACACTTAGCTTCAACCAATAGAAGAAAAAGGAGAGCAGATTTACTTAAGAAAGAGCCCCTCCACACAAGATTTTATAGGCACACTGAGGAGATGGCAGAGGAAAACTGCATGTATTTCCTACTGTGAACTACTATGAAATCAATTAATTTTTAGGTCATTGGGCAAGTGTTTCATGAATATGGCAAAAAACATGCTAGAGAATTCACAAGCTTTTAGGATTACATATAAAGTATGTGGTTAAAATATTTTCCTTTCTACCAAAAAAGTTAGAACACAATTGAAAAATCTAATGTTTAATAATTTATTGTAGAATAATTTAAGGGGAACCTGAAAACTAATGTACATCTCTATCAGAAAAGCAAAGCACAAGTGGATGTTGGGATAAGAAAATGAGTTTCACGACCATTCTTGGATTTCTATGGAATCATACTGTTCTATTTGTTTTTCTGAGACTACCAGTTTGCAATAAACTTTCTAAGGCATGAAACAGAAAAACAATGAGAAATGTGGGGCCATGTCATAATTCTGACGCTGTTTTTAAAAGAACTATTCATTGTTTATCAATAATACTAAATCCTAAGTTAGACTCTTATAAGAAGAATTTATTAAACTGTATTTTAGGTTATTTTATATTAACTCAAAAATATTTAATAGCAATAGGCCATTACTGTCATTAGTAACTTTTTAAAAAGGCAAGTAACCAGCAAACAAATACGTTTCTGATGATCTAATCTGTTAATAACCATAAAACTATCACGAGATCTATTAGAATATCTTCTATGAGTTCCTGTCTATGTTATTCATTGATTTTTTTCCTTAGGTGATGAGTTGGTGGGTTGTTTTTATTTTTTTCCTCTCTCACTGATATTACAACAGTATCTGGCACATGGTGGTTATTTAATAACTATTGTCTAAATGAATAAATGGATAAATAAATTATGTTAGGCATGTTTTAGTATTATCACTGATTCTTACATAACCTTGAGAGATAGGTATGAGGAGACATAGAACCACAGTGCGGCAAAGACATTCTATGTATCAGCTGATCCCAGGAATATCTGAGGACAAACTCTGTGCATCCTCCTGCCCCAATATGTCAGGCTGTCTCAACATCTTGTTGGCATTTGTATCCTCTGTACATCTATTTTGGTTAAATCGGGGCTTAGACATTCAAGATTTTGGAGAGTGCGTAAGGATGAACTCAATCATTTTTGCGGCTCACATACTTTGCTTTATGGGTATACGGTTCCTCTCTGATTCTAATAGCATGGCAAAAGAGACTTAGAAGTCATAGTTCTTTGTGTGTGTGTGTGTGTGTGTGTGTGCAAGGTGAGAGAGGACTAATCTGTTGTAACTGTTGGAATGTTTCCCAGGGCTTCTGGGATAAACATCTCTTCTGTTGCTTTCTCAGGTAAAACTTAATTTTCTCTTTCTTAGTAAATCTTTCCATAGTGATGTGAACTGGAAGGTGGTAGAAAGGGGGTGAATGTGAGCAGAGGAAGCCAAAGGCAGTGCAGAAAGGATGGCACTGATTTTTTGTTTTCTATTCATCCTTCTGTCTATCATTGCTTATTTCTGATTATCAGTATGAGCTTTCCTGAAATATTAACTTCTGCTTCTTACAGTAGTAGTTGTAAACTTGGGAAAGGAAAGGATGATCCATGAATGAGCATCATGCAGTTCAAACCTCTCAATGTGAAAGTAAAACTGAAACACAAACCAAAAGGATGGTTACCAGAGGGAGGGGGTGGAGAATGGGTGAAACAGGGAAAACGAATATAGTCAATAATATTGTGATAAGTCTATGTGATGACAGATGATTACTGGAATTAGTGGGGTGATCACCTTCTAAGGTATATAAAATATTGAATCACTGTATTTTATACCTGAACCTAATATAACCAATGTAAGATTGTACACCAATGACACATAAATTAAAAAAAGAAAGTAAAATTGTATGAAATTATTTACATAGGCACATCTATGAGTGGAAAATCCATAGCTTTCAACAATGGTGTCCATAACTGAGGGGAAAAAATAGTTAAGAAGCATTCCCTAGCAGGGCATCTTGGAAAATAAAATGACATGCATACAAGACAAAGCAGGTTCTGATATTGATAATAAGTTGAAGAAAAAAAGAGGAAATATAGGAATGTGAGAAACTATACTAAAATCCAGACAATAACAATTATTCTCAATTATTTCAAAACAGGATAATATAGTTCAAGTATAAGCACCACTCATATCCACTTAATACATAGTCCCTGGATATTTTTGATCATTTTCATGGCAATACAGTCTCTACCAAGACTTTAATTTTTCTACTTGAAACGTTTTCCCCTGTCACATTTTCTATTTTGCATGAACACATCCTTGCCTTTAAAAAGTACTCAATGGCCACTCAGCTTATGTGCCTTAGAGGCCTGACCTAGAGAAAATGCAGCAGGAGGGTGAGTGCAGACTAGGTGGTATCTGTCTCTTTCCAGCCATGTGAGGCCCTCCGTCCTCTGGGTAGACATCTGTCACCTGGGCTTCACAAACTCACTGTGGCCCTTCCACCACTTTCCTAACTCTTACACTTTTTCATTCCCACTTCCTTTAGTAAAACTGAATTGAGGTAAAAAAAAAAAAAACATGCAGAAGGGGCTCCTGCAAATTGTGTTTATACAAAATTTGGTTGTCCAGTTCCTCCTGCCTCTTATTTTATTTTGCTGGACTCTGCATATTTTATGTTTTTTACACCTCTGAAAGGATCAATATTTTTTTTTTCTAAATACTCTGTCAACTTGCTTTACTTTGAAAACCTCATTAATAGGATAAAATCCACAGTTTTTAACATAGTTTGGAAAGTCTCAACTCTCAACTCAAGCCTCAAGTCTCAACTCTCTTTCGGTCTCATCGCTTTCTGTCCTCTACACTCTATTACTCCATTGGAAGATTTCCTAATACTCCCGTAACATTATAAATAGCACTTCCTAGACTGAAAATATATCCTCTTGTTTATTTTCCTGGAGTAAGATTTTTCCAGCTGAGTTCCATTTACCACTAGTTCTATAGTTTGCTCTGAAGGAAATTTGAGAGATTTTATAGTCAACTATGTTTGGTAAATGCCAAATATCGTATAGTCCTTTGGTGATTCATATGCATTTATAAATGAAAGGGAACCTCAGAGTTAAACAAAAACCAAGGTTAGATAATATTATTTAACTTTGTTTAATACAGTGGTTCCCAAGCTTTTTAGGTCAAATATACACACGCAGACACCACACCGTATATTTACATGCGATGCCCTACAAGTGTTTCTCAGGCGCTCAGTGTAAGAAATGCTGTTCTCTCAAACTCCATCTGAGTCACGCAGGCCTGGAAGATATCGTCACACTTTGCAAAGGCCTTGGGAAGGTGTTCTGTCTAGATAGCTTGGTGGATATAGCACTGTCTCTTTCTACTTTCCTGCCCTTGCAGTAGCATGTAAGCTCCCCTTGGTACCAGATCTTAACAGATTTATGTCATTAGCACCAAAGCTAAAACCTTCTACTATCTGGTGTCAGTTTTACTTTCTTCACAAAGGCATATTCATCCACTGGGCTTCCATGAACAAGGGGAAACCAATGAGCATATACATGCCCACATCACTCCCATCCTTTGCGATTACCGGTAACTTGTAGGATGACAGCAAAACCAAGAGAATCCATCAATCTGTAACAACCCCACATTTTTAAACAACCCTTGACACCATTTTCTTGGTGGATCATCAATCTCATTTAGATCAGGGGCTAAAAAGAATATGTGGAATACAGGCTCCATAAGTGGTACAGCCGTCGCACACAGAAGTTGCACATGCGCCTTCAAAATAGATTTAGAAAGTATGTGTTCCTGCAAGTTGATTCCAGTGGATTTTAAAAAATAATTATATTAACTCACTAAATTGTATCAAGAGGAATGAAGAAGGAGCCCTTCCATCACCTTTGACAAAGCCCTTGTAAATGTTTTACAGGAAACATTTGTAAGAAAATGTTTATAGAAGAAGAGTTCAATATAGGGGAAGAGGTTGTCCTGTTATATTAACCCATTTAGGGATAATTTATAGTGTTTTGCTTCAAATCAAAGCTCATAAAGATAAAACAATGACAATAAAAACAAATATAATACTAATAAAGTATATTTTGCTTTTAGACTTTGAGACTAGTAGATACTACTCATAATAATTATGTATCAAGCACCTAAAATATGATATATCCCTAAAATATGAGAGATTATACTAACAAAGATTGAGACCCAAAATCGAGAAACAAGTAAATGGTGGAGCCGTAACTCACACTGAGGTGGTTCTAGTTTTAAATTTTCCACAATATTTTTAAAGTTAGTCTTTTCCTCTTGAAAACATAGTGCTTTAAAAGTCATACTTCTACTAATGGCTCTCTTGAAATAGGTTTTGTTACATATGATTTCCCCAAATATTGTTTCATGCATTTCACTAATTTACCATCTCCTTATTTCTGCCAAAATAAAATGAAAACAGTACTTTATGCATTTTGTTGAGGCCATCAATTTCATCCATTTTAAAACCAATCGTGTCTCCCTCTTGTATATGCAGATAGGTCCTGAAAAATGCCTGCTGGCAGAAAAGTTAAAATTAATTCTCCTATATTTATTACCTCATGAAGGCTATAAAATGCCATAATTGCATTTCATTGTTTTGCATTTATTAAAGATCAACAAAAACTGAAAAATAAATAAATGAAGTAGCAAACTCATTCATTGCTGGTGTTTAGCAAGAGATAATTATCTTAACTTTTCTTATTAAGCTTTATCCCTTTTCACTTAAGCTTTCATGGAATGTTTTTGAATAAAGTGTGTTATTGGTCACAGGAGTTGATTTTGGTTTTCTTTTGAAAATGCTCACATTGATCAGAATCTCATTCTCATTACTACTTTTCTATGAAGTGCGCCACACAGACAATGGAGTTTCAAACCTGGCTTCCTTGGGAAGCATCGTGAGATATGAGAAAACGCAGGGACTTAGGCACCTTCAAGAACAGACTTTGAAAGCCATCTTTGCTGCTTTCCACGGCCTCAGGAAAGAGCCTTCCTCTTTTCCAGCCTCTGTTTCTGTATCTGAAATGTGACTGCCACCCCGAACTCTAGATCAGTGATGATCATATGTTAGATATTCGTATATTTCATTTATGCCCTTTCGTAATTACCTCTCTCCATCCCCACTGCCATCACCTTAAACCAGACTAATCTTAATCTCTTGCATGTACAGCCTTCTTAATGCTCCTTCTGCTTCATTGTGTGTGTGTGTGTGTGTGTGTGCATAGGTGCGCGCGCGCGTGTGTGTACCTTTTATTCAAACATCAGATTCTCTTTGTCCAATCTCATTCTTGCTTATTGCATTCTTCTTATTCTTCTTGTGTAGGATGCTATGCTCAGCCCTAGATGTCTTCATTTCTTCAGACAAGCCAAGGTCTTCCTCCCTTCAGGGTCTTTGCACAAGCTTATGCTGCTGGCTAGAAGGTCCTGCTCCATTCTGGTAGGTCTGGCACTTTCCCATTTTCCTTCAGTTTCAGCTTAAAGGATACTAACTTACAAAGGAACTTTCTCTGACAACACTCTATAAAATAGATCTTTGCTTTTTCTTTGTTTCCTCCAGACTAGTTGCATTAATGTTTCTTTGACTCAGTTTTCAAAGTTTAAATCTGTTTTTTATTCATTTTAGTTTTTTAAATAATCTCTCTTCCTTATTAAATTCCATTCAACGGAGCTGTTTTTTTGTCCTCAGAGCATTTCCCCAGGTTCATATTACAATATTTAGCATTTGTAGATGCGCAGTAAATATCACTCAATAAGTAAATAAATGAATGATTTTTCATTTGAAGAGGTTAGCTTGTTTGCTGCGTGTCTGTGGGTAGAATGTGTGTTTCCATGGTAATATCTGAGGGACTAATTATTGAAATACATGTCGCTGCTAAACAAAATGAATTACAACCATTATTTTAAAATTCTGTGAATATCCATTACATGCCAAGCATTGGCTAAATATATATCTAGAAATATAGGCTATTATCTTTTTTTTTGAGGGGTGGGCACTGTGATATTCCTATGATAAGCTAACTTTATATTCTGAAGTATTGATCAGAGAAAAAAGAGATTAAAAGAGGTAAACTGAAGTATTTTTTTAACCCAGACAAATTAACTTGATTCTAAATAGTACATCACAACTACTATAGATGGTGAGGAAACTTGAATTATCCGCCATTAGATTTATTTACAGTAACAGAGGAAGTGCCTTCCAAAAGAAAAAAAGCTGAAGCAGGCTGTTGACTAACTAATTCTTAAACAACAAACATTCTCTGAGAGTAAACATGAGCCCTTGACTCACTCCTAGAAATACAGTATTTCTAGTTCAATCCCTGTGTCTGTGAACCATCTGGAGCAAATTACCCTAAATCTGTACGTGTTGTAAGCAAGAGGTTAGCATCTAAAATAAAATCCTAGAAAGACCTTAGTAAGGGGAAGAGACATAGGGCAGAATTACGGAAGGCCCTCTGGTCAATACTGGTCACTGAAGTTCCCTGTTTCTGTTTCACATTTGGTTTTGAGTGTGGTGTTATCAGGCATAATAAAGGAAGTTAATGGTTTCTCCACATCTGTTACCTGTTTCTCCACCTGTCCAGCCAGATTACCACTCTCATCAGGCAGAATCGGGGTTATTCCCAGCTGACTCCTTTTCAGTACTTGACAGATGTTTCCTGCCTCTGGTGGAACAAGTCCTGTATTAAGAGGTCTTCTCATTAAGATAGCTCCATTTCCTTCATCTCTTCAGTCTTCTTTTCTGCCTAGAAAATTTGAGGTATTTTCTTGCAATTCTCTTATTTCTAATTTTATGATGTGTTTGCTAAAGAGAAAACTCTATGAGGGAAAAAGACTGATGTGTAGGGCATTGTTTCTACTACATCCCTAGTACCAAACCAAGGTCTGCCATATAGTTACTGTTCAATTAATACTTACTGGCCACAGCCTCCCATCCTATTAGACAATATCAGTCATATATTTTGCTTTCTAATTTTGAAATCCTCAGTCCATACTGTCATTTCTGCCATGGCCATTAGAGATTTCAAGTAAGTGGAGAGCATCATTTAATTCTTCCTGGTAACTGAGGATCAAGTAATCTGAAGTTAATTCTATGGTACCATCATTGAATTAGAGTCTAAAGATAGATGTCATCTTCTATCTTTTGACATAAAATAAATTATCTATAACTATTGAAATATTTTAAATATAGAAGTAACCGGTAGTCAGAAAAATACTGTACTGACATTTAGTTAAGTAATGGAGGGAATATTTAAGAGGATTCTAACAGAAGGGATTCACGTTGATTTTGTATAATATGGGATGTGAACTATTTCTCTGTGTCATGGGTGGCTGTTACTCTCTTAAGGGAACGAATTCAAGAAAAAAGTCAACTTTCATTTCAGAATCATGAGAAGGCAGTAAGGGCTGATATGATTTGCAATTCTACTTTTAAAGTAAACCTTTGACAATTTTGGCACAAACATAACATGAACTGGAAAGTGTTACCTAGAGAGGAGGAATCTGACCTCCTTCCCTGCTTTCTTTTTCTTTCTTTTTTGATTCTTTGTTTAGGTAAATTCAATCCAGTGGAAAAGAGTCAAATATAATAGAATTATCTATGTTCATGTTGACAGTAGTTTGGATTTTGTGAGATGTTTTAAAAACCTCCTGGAGGCCATCTTGGTCCAGAAGTTTTTAGGCTGGGTACACTGAATGGTTTGTCTAGATTATTACTAATGATCTCCAGCTACGTTGTCTCCCAGAAAGCTGATCCCCTCTGACTTCAGCTTAAATCCATACTTTCCAGGCAAACCAGATTTCAAAGGCACCTCACCCCTTCCTCCAAGGCTGCTGTAAAGCAGACATGATTGTTGAAAAATATTGAGTTCCTATGAATCTAGTGCTAATTCAGTTTTTGACATTTGTTTTTCATGAGTGTTTGATCGTTTGAGATTGAACATTCTAATTTCAGAATGAGATTGTGGTCTGTGCGGTGTTCAGAGAAATGATTGAAAGCTTTCTCTATGTGGGACTTACATAAGTAAACACTAGTGTAGGTAACAAAGATGAATGTTTGGAAAACATTAAATATAAAAATGAGATACTCAAGCCATTGAAAGTGACCTGGGAGTGATGTAATGAATCAAATATGAGTTCTGACTAGCACAAAGAAATCAGGGCATTCAGGAGATGAAATGCTGCATATGTATAAACCAGTTGGTCACATGTCCAAAAATTAGGCTGAACAGCCAAGAATCTGATCTTTTCATGGAAAATAAACTCTTAACAAATTTGCCTACACAGATTCATCTTAGGATAAGCTAGTGCAATGACACATAGAACATACACATTTCTTCACAGAAGGAGGCATTTTGATTTGCAAAAATCATAAAACAAAGAATCAACTTTTCTTTTTTATTTCGATCTTGCATAGGAAAGGTGATGAAACAAGGTGATTTTTTTTCTGAGGATCAGAACTGCTGAGGAATCATGAAAACTTTGGAAATGGTTAAAATCCAACGAGTAGAACTCCATATTCCTGGAGTACCAAAGGCATGCATGTCAATATCACAAGTGAAGCCAATGTTGAATTTCTGAAATATCAATGCCATTGACTCTCTAAACTTGTGTGATGAGTTCTGCATGAACAATGAAGTTTTATTTAAATTCTAATGCACTTGACAGATTCTGTATGATTGAAAGTGACTGGCTTATAAGTTGGTGATTGGCTACATTACCCCAGCAAGGATCTGGATCACACAGATGTACCCTTGAAACTGACCTGCATATATTTTGAATATTTTGATCAAACTCTCTGCCAACTCAGTCCATCAACTTAGCTAAATGTATTTACTGCCATACACACACACACACACACACACACACACACACACACAGAGTACACATCTGCAAGAGTGGGGCAAAAGTAGGGCTACAGTTGTGTGCATGTAAAAGTTTATTCTTTTATTATTATTTATTAATTATCGTATTATTTTTCAGACTAACAACTGTAACCCTACTTTTGCCCCACCCTGTATATTTAAACACACTCTATCCTTTAAGGATCATAAATGAAAACCCTCAAAATATATACTAGAGGGATATTCCACATGATGAAATTAAGAAGCATTTGAACTAATGTTAGAATATTATTTTAAAAAAAGCATATCACTGTGAAAGGTTAATGTTTTGATTATAACTACATTTATGGTGTCTGGATGTTTGAAATTAATCATTTTATTGTTACAACTTTAGCTTTGCTCTCTGTGTGTGTGTTATTTTGGTAGGTAGAAACAATGCTAATGCTTCAGGTACATGAGAGTAATCTAGGGGAAATGTCCACTGTTTCTCAGGACAGTAACACACTGGACTTTTGTAATAAATAAAAGTATAAAACTATACTTCTATTTCTTCCTTTTGGTAGAAAAAGTCTGACTCTTGTCAGGTAAACTGCTCGGCAAATAGTACGTTTAATTCCTAACACCCACGTGAGGCACAAGAATAGTTGGATTAACAACTCCAGTGTCATGCTGTCAGCTGCTGTTTATTTAAATTAAAATGTCACCATCCAGAAATAAATTAGAAAGTTTAAAAATGATAAATTTCTTAAACATACAGTACTTTGGCACCTTCTTCAAATAAATCTATTACATTTGCACTTTTTAGAACTTTACATAGACTATTTCCATTTTGACATTCAGAGTATAGCAGGTTTTGCTTTTGTTTTGTTCTTACTTATAACTAGCTCTCTTCCTCCAGCCTTCCCTCACAGCTTCCCTTCCTCTCTGCCCCCTTCTTCCTTCCTTTCTTCCTTCATTTTTCTGCCCCCGCCCTTCTCCCTCCTGCCCTCCCTCTCTCTTCACTGCTCCTATTTCTGCTATAGGAGACAAGGAAAAAATCCTATCAATATACATTTATCAGATACTATAGTTGCATGTCCAAAAAATGTTGTTTATCCTATGTTTAACTAAATTATCTACATTTCTGAGATTTCAAACTTCTTACCACTTCCAAAAACGGGTTGTCCCGGGTTCCACGACTAGGAGTTATTCCTATGCGTGACATGGAACAAGCATGTGCCCTCCCCATGAGCTTTCCCTTTGCTTACTGTCATTTGAAGGTTACATTTTTGGCCCCATCACTCTAATACCTCCCTTACTATCATCCATATCCTGAGATATTTTGAGATAGCTCTTTGGCTCTGGGAGCACAGCACAGCAGGTTGTTCTACTTCCAGAGCCAATTTGGTCATAAGCAGAGAGAATCAACATCTCAGAAAAATACTCCCTCCCTGTTTCCATGTGGATGTTTCTTGCCTGTGACTTTGCAGAATGTGAATAATGCAAATGCACACAGTAAGGCAGGTTAATCAAATATGAGACAGTTGTATACAAACATAGCAGCATTAACAACATGGAGATATTTACTTGGCCGGGTTTTCCATTTTCACATAAAAATGCCTCATATTCGGATGCGAATTCAGGGGCGTTGTCATTGACATCCAGCACTTTAATAGCAACAGGTACTCGTGATATCTGACTGTGGTTCCCTATGGGAAGGAAAAAATAACATCAGCATTGAGGGTATTTCATTTAAACGTGCAACTCAACTTTCTGAAAGCAGGTGTGAGAAAAAAATGAGAAAAAATATCCAGTGCTTCCCTGCTTAAAAAAAAAAAGTATATATTATTATTCCAAACACCATTTGTTGGAGCTTCGCCTGATAAAGACAATCTCTGAATCATTAGAAGTTTTCCCTGATGAAGAAAGCCTCATTTTATTGATAAAGCCTATTATACAAAATAAAAAATGCTGTCTGCAAGAAAGATTTATTTCTTTGTTTATCTTGGGTAGAATACAACCCATTTTTTTGCTATCACTTGTTTGATTGGCTATCTGTTAAAGATGAACATCGAAAATCCAGCATAAGTGCAGAGCCAAATTGGAGCCAAAGAGGGCGTCCTTAACAACAGTAAAAGAAATAATCTTAAAGATGGGGATTATGTCTTTTGTGAATTTTATTTTTTATTAAAAACTGATTTTGGGATTTTTTTTTTGATAAGACCAAGTCATTTTAATATTGATGTTTTCATGAACATTTTCATCAGTGTAAACAGATAATAATCTTCTAATCTTTCCAGGTCAATTCTAATAGCAGAGAATTTAATATGCATTCCTCAGTCTTCAAGCCCTTAAATTTAAAAAGTTGTACACACACACACACACACACACGCTCACACACAGAAATCTAGTCCATTAATATATTTCTGACTTGGGCCATGTAATGATTTTTCATTTGTAATAAATACAATAGTTTGACTGCACAATCTTTTGATCTCTTGTAAATTATACGGAATGCACAGGAGATGGCCAATTGTTTATTTGTGCGTTTGTGTCACTGAATATTTATAAGCAAGCCAAGAGTGGAAAAATGTTTGATTTTTGAATGTGAAGAAGCAGACTTGCGTTTGATATATCAAATCTTTTTTTGATAATTGATTAAATTTATATCTCTAAAAGCTTCAAATACTCATGTTTTTGTTGTTAAATATGGAAGTATTTCTAAAGCACACACCAAATGATCAAAGCCTTGTTACAAATTTATACTTGGTTAACCCCACTGGCAATGCTACAAGATTTAAATTTGGTTAACTACCATGGCTACTCTCCAATACTCTAATTTGATTGACTAAGGATGGATGAATATTATTCTGTGGAATTCCAGCCACCTCAGAAATGGCGCATAACCTTACTTCCCCCAAATCAAGCCAATGGCCTCAATTGTGTCAGCTGACATATCTTTTCTCTTTTATTATCTTGTGTCTAATAATTCATTCTTCATTCAAAAAGGAAGCAAGAATCTCTCAACTTTGGATGGAAGGTAAGATTTTTTAAAAGTATAGTACATGAATTTAAGGAACTTATATTTCATGCTTTATCCATTTGAATAAAGCAGATAAATAAGGTACAATGTATTTGAAATAAGGCATAATTATATGCTTAAAGATGTATATCTCTGTAGCTCGACCATGGACTCAAGAGTAGCTACTAGAGAGTAAAAGGGACTATAGTGTTTGCAGTAAATGAGGTTTGGAGCCCCATCCTTGCCTCCTACTACCTATGTGATCCAGAACCATCGATTTGACCTCATTTTATTCCTGAGGAAATTGAAACTCAAGACCTTAATGTGTTATTTACAGAATTGTGATTAATATTGCATGAGAAGAAATTAAAAGTGCTCCGATAGTGTTGGGCACATAGTCAAGGGCATGTTAGCCTTTTGCCTTTTGTAATCATCAACATCATCGACATCATGAATAATGAGTGTTTACTACATACAGTGAGGGGTATTTCACAAAACCATGTCTCATTCAATCCTCACTAAAGAACCATGGAACAGATAATGTGAACCCCATATTTTAGGTGGAGACTGACACCCAAAGGATTGCATGCTTTTACCAAGATTACTCAGTTAAAAATTAACTCCAAAGTGTAGTTTGGGCCTCCCAGATATGATCACTTTTCACAGTGTAATGTTGATGAAGTCCAATCCAAAATGTGTTTGTTTTGTTTGTTTGTTTGTAGGGTGACTAATCACAGCCATTTAATCAAGAATGCTTACATGTTTGTTATAAATATTTATTTCAAGTTTGCCCACTAAATTTATGTCCAAATATCAAATGCCAACCTGGATAAGTCTAATGAGTCATACGACCATGTATATTCTCAGAATTGCACTAATAACCTGTGAGTATCTCTGAGAGACTGCCCAATTTAACATACATATTTTTGCTCATGGCACTATTTTACCCAAGTAGAGTCCTTTTAATTAATGCATTTTATTTTGTAATAATCTGTATTTCAACTCTTAAGAGCTATTCATTAGTTATTTATTTATAAAGTAGTCATTCTTTCCATTCCACATCTTAGACCAATTCTTGTGTCTATAAATAATGACAAAAGACTTCTGTTATTATATATTTTGCCTTCAATCTAACCATTCAATTAATAAACAGCTGATTATCAATATAGAGTTAATAAACTCCAGACACATAGTAGATAGTGAATAATAGGTAGTCTTAGAAAACTGCAACTACAAGGAAAAGCTATCACACTCCTTAAACATGATTTCTTTCCTTGAGAAATGAAGAAAACCTTAATATTACTGAATCAGATTCACTGACAGCAGTTGATTGAGCCAAGTCTACTAGATATGATATTTTTTGTCTTACCTCTTTCTCATGCCACATGGCCATGCACACACACTCACACATGCACATACCCCACAGGCAAACATGCCTGTATGGATTTTATTTGCACCAGTTTGGCAAAAGAATAATTATGCCAAGGCCCATGGTCTTAATTTTCTCACTTCTCTTTTCTTAATCTCACAATGAATTGCAATGAATTGCCATTTTCTCTTATTTTTGATGACCAGCAGATGGTAAAAGTCAAGCATAGAAGGTGAAGAAGCTCCCTGAGCTTTTTTATTCAGATAACTTTCTACATTAAAATAATATACATCTTCTCATATGTACAACAGTATCTGGGACAAGGTAGTACTTCACTGTTCAGGGGCCCAGATCCCTAGAATAACACCATCTCTTTGTGTTGTTGTTGTTGTCATTGTTAGATATAACAATCCCATGTTATTGTAATTGTTATTGTTATTGTAATCTAACAATAACTTAACACTTCTAGAAGACCATAAGTGACAGAGCATGTTCTTCCAAGTCTGATATTTAATCTGTCTCAACAACTCTACAAGTAAATAATTTGTTTAAATATAATGGGCTTTTTGTTAATGATTATATTTTCTTCTTTCATTTGGCCTCTCATAAATTCAAAATCAAATTTGAAATCCACCTCTCACAGCTGTAAAGAATTGTATATATTATGTATACAACAAATATAATGTATTTTTTTTACATTTATTCAACTGTTACCCAAATTGACTAAATTAATGTCTTCTTACGCAGTTTAATTGAATGCATGTCTAGGTGTTTTCTTTTAATTTATTAGTTTACATTCTAACCTCATTAATTAAAAATAATTAAAAGAAATAAAGCCTAAACTGTTTATCCTAACACTAAAAAATGTATATTAGTGGAGTATGGTGAGATGGTTAGAATCTCTGTAGCTTTAGCGGTCACATAAAACATGCTGGGCAGTTTACCCTAACGCAACACAACATAATCTCTTCTCTTTCTGGCTGTCGAATTGTTACCCTTCAAGATTCAGCCCAAGCCATATCTCTTCCAAAAAGCTTTTACCACATATTTGTTTTTATTTATTTCTTTAAAAAAAGAGGGGGTGGTTAGGGGAGAGAGAGAGAGAGAGAGAGAGACAGTGACATGAGAGAGAAACATTGATCAGTTGCCTCCTGCATGTGCTCTGACTAGGATCAAACCTCAACCTCTTGGTACAAAGGACCAATGCTCCAACCAACTGAGCCACCTGGCCAGAGCTTTATTCCTTTTTTGAAAAAAATAATTGTGGCATCATAGAATGGGGAGCTCTCTCGACCCCCAGGAAAACTGGTGAAAATTATTTCTTAAAAGTTAAATTCCATGGAAAAGATCCTAACGACATATAGAAAAGCAAACACCAAAAACATTTGAAGAGAGTCTGTCGTATTTAAACTAACACCTGCTCATTCCATCCACCCTCACAGCTGAGCATGATGGGAAATAGACTCCAGACTAAAGCAACCAAGAAACAGGGCTCTATCTCCCCACAGCAGTGAGTGAAGGGCCATCTCCCCAGGAGAGATGGGATGTTAACATTTCATTTCCCCTGCTCAGACAGATGCTGCTGAAGCTACATTCTGGGCAACTGCAGGTGGGGGCTGCCTTCTTCCACTAAGTCCCTACTCCTTGGACAAGGTGTCACTGAGAATCCTGGGGCCCTGCCACCCTTGCCATGGCTCATAGCGGGAGGTTTCTTGCTGAGAGAGGAACCAAGAAGACTGAGGCTACTCCCTCCCCCTGCCACAAAACACTCAGCCGCTAAAGCAGGCGTGTCACTTAGATGCTTCAGAGCCCTGACTCAGGTTTTATCTGCAGGTGGCTGAGAGAAGCATAGAGTGGAGAGCCCTGAACTTCTTTTAGAGGAACTAACTTCATTTGCAAAAGAGTGTAGAGTGCAAGCTTATCGATGATCTCAAAACAATGGAGGTTGTTGTGAAAGGAAAATGGGAGAAGACTGGTAGATTCAGTAGATTCCCTGGAGATATGTGCTAAAACTGTAGGCCAGCTTGTGGCCGGAGAGAATCAGAAAGATGCTGCAAGGAGAAGCCAAGGCATCGCTTGGACCTGTGTAACTCCAGTTTCTAACATGAGCATCACAAGGCCACCTCCTCTTCTTCCCAGATCATCGACTCTTTTAAGAACACGTTACTGGATTTGGGGCCTACCCAGGTAATCAAGAATGAGCTTGTCCTAAGATTGTTAATTTCATCGCATCTGCAAATACCCTTTCCCAACATATTTATACGGGTACCTGGGGTTAGTACCTGGACATACATGTTTGAGGACCACCATCCAACCTA